CTAATCTGCACTGTAGTACTGACAAGCGCTCTCAAGTTCTGTGTTAATTTTATTCATAAATACAGTGGCCTAGACCAAGGTCAGTATATAATGAAGCAAGTAACATGTTCAGCAGCAAACAAAATTAAGCAGTTTTAAAGAGAAAGCTCTTACTTGTTTGCCATAAAAAACTAAACATATTCTGTTCCTTTGCTTTGATGAATCAGCATATTACAAGAAAAAGTAGCCTTGGAACAATTTATTCAATGAGTAGTCTACCTTCTGGAGCCAGGCCAAGGCATTTTCTGTCTCAGGTAAATGGCAAGATACCCTCCCCACATTATGTAAAACAAATGGAATACCAGTTGAACCTTACTTCAACATTGTTGATGGAACAGCATCCTCCACTGTACCCAAAGGCGGCAAGCTATCTTTGCCGGCTGACAGCAAAGTGGAAAATAGTACAAATCTAAACTTTCCAATTCAGCTCTGATATTCACATGTGCCAAAATGGCACAATACTTGCAACTAGTCAACAGGTGTACCAGGCTTAGTAACAGAGATTATTTTTACAGAAGCAGTTTTCAAATCTATGGTCATTAGCTGAAATTCAGTCAATGAAAAGGATGGGAGGTAGGACGTCAGATGATTTAAGGGGCACACAAAATATACCCCAAGATATAGGAAACAGAAGAATCTGGCATGACTCACTGACTATCATGCCGGAAAGATAAAGCAGAGAGTTTGATACCTGAGCCACCACCGTTTTAAGAAATTTTTCAGGACTACAGAGCTTAGGCAATAACTACTATTGTAAATAGGAGTGTCTTCAAAAGCCAGCAGACAGCCAATACTGATGAGGCCTCTTGTATTCTAGAGTTCCCAAATACTGGTGCTACGAGTGAAAAAGCCCACCTCTGCATTACCCCAAGGCAACCATCATCAGGGCATGGGAACACTAACTAGGTTCCATTTGTTGATATTAATGCCCTTATCAAGCAGTAATTACAAAAGCAAACAGCAGCTGTTAAAAATAAAATCCAGTACAACACTTTAAATAAATAACAAATGTAATTAAAACAATAAGTGATATAAAGTAATAGAATCCCAGCGCAGCTCTTTACAAAGCCCATTTAAAACATAATAAAACATGGACCATGTCCTCATCTTTAGTGCCTACCAATCTATCGATGGCAGGTCTATGAGCAGGGACTCTGACACCAATCCTAAAGGCTAGGCAGGTTCGTAACCAATCCTTCAGATGGCCTGGTCCCAAACTCCTTAGGGCTTTAAAAGGTCAATACCATACTTTATATTTGGCTCAGAAACAAGGCAGACAACTTGCATGTGTTCCAAATGCTTAACACCAGCAAGAATCAGGTGGCTGTATCATGTACGAGTTGTAGGTTCCAACCCATTTTCCAAGGCAGCCCATGTAGGGCATGTCACAATATTCTAGATGTAACCATTGTCTGTTGGCATCTGTCTTGGGAGACAATGGAGGAGTGCGCCTTTGGGGGTGAGGTCAAGATGTTAGATGGTTGTAGCCATGGGCATAGCCAAGAGAGGACAGGAAGGGACAGCTGCTCTTTCCTAAATGAATACAAATCTGAGGTTCTGCCCCCACCCTAACAAAAATCCTGCCTATGCCCATTGTTGTAGCTCCTTCTGTGGCTGTTGAGATTGATGTGGGAGAGGACAAGCTTTGTTGCATCTGGGGCAGATGAAGGAGTCTAGTTGTACTGCTGCAGATGCACCATGGCGTTTCTTCTCTCTGTGCTCCTCCCAGTGGTCATTTCTCCTCTGGTATGGAAACACAACTTGACTGTCTCCAGGCACTGCGGTTGTCTGCAAGGGATTCCCACATGGCAGGGTTGATCTTGCCAGCCTTCATGTAACATTTGCAGACAGCTTTGTAACTCAGTTTGTCTGCCAATTGGCGTGGTGCCAGAAGCCAGCTCCCCATAGAGCATGTCCTTGGAGATTCTGCCATCTTCCATTCTGTGGACATGACCAAGCCAGTGTAGATGTTGTTGAGACAAGAGTGTGAACTTGCTGGGATATATATATATAGCAGGACATATGTAACTGAGGCATGGGCCGCTTTCTCCAGATAGGGCATATCAGCAAGGAAATGTTTTAGCTGTCTTCTGAGGTATAATGAATAGTATTCAATCTGCAGGTTTGGCCTAGAAGGTTATCAAGTTGGCAATCTGGGCATCTGCTACTATGATGGGTGTGAAGTTGGATTTTTGAAGTAGGCAATTTGGACTTTTGCTAGCTTCAATTTTGGGCCTATGCAAACAGGAAATGTTCCCATGCACGTGAAGAGGACACTATTGAGACAAACTTGGATTTCAGATATGCTACTATCGCAATCCAATGTCATTCTAGCTCCTGTGGAATATGACTGCTTCAACACCCCATGTGTACTGTCTCAGTGCCAAGAGGGAAAACGCAGTTTGCTGGAGAAGCAAAGGAGAAGGCAATTTGGGGTGTAGAAGTCAACTGCAGAGAAGGCCTAGAAGAACTCAGAAGACCAAATGGGCAAAGGATTACAATTAGAAGAAAAGATTACAATTCAGAAAAGATTTAAACAGCAGAAATCCAAAGAGGCACCTCCTTTTCTCAGGCATCACCCTTTTTCCTATTCTTGCTAGCCCAGGTCCTTTGCATGTGTGAGTATCCCTTCCTTGGTGTGTGGGGGAGGATTAGGGTTACTGTGCTAGTAGGATAATTATTTCACTCAAATCTCTGTTTCCAAGACTTCTCTTCACAAAGAAGAGAAAGTCCTAAGCTGTTTAATACTTAGGAGATAAAGCTTTGAACTTTCATTTTTGGTCTAGTTGTTTATCCTGGTATCCTTGTATTCTCCTTTTGCAAAGAAAAGTTTCCATGCTGTGTGTCTCAGGCATAATCAACCCTGGTATACACATAAAGTTCACAATCTAGTGTGGATGCACTGTTCAAGAACTAAAACTTGCATCCAGCATATTAAAGCAGCAACACTTGAGCTCATCAGCATATATTAGCAAACAGCCACACATGTTTTGTTCTTTTAATGCAATAAAATGAGACAAAAACAGCTTTTTCTTATTTAATAAAGCTATGAAGCAGGCCTATTGACTATGATGACAACCCAGTTAGCAGTAACAATTTCACAACATCACACTGGAAAAAGGAAATAGCCATTCCGTCATGAGCACTTTTACATTCTAAAAATTTCCATTATACGTTAACGATAAAAGACACATTTTTATCCTAGAGCTTCAATGCATATTATATATTAAATGTTGCTCTGGCACAAGCCCTAGGATTTAGGTAGCAGGAGGATTGCTTTAGTTTCCATGCTGCTGTATTTGGCACAAAAAGAACTTTGAATGTTTAGCGATCAGCCTCAGGGCAAATCTTCCACTTACAATATTATCCACTTAAAGGACTGGTTGGATTTCATAATTCAAGGATCAAGCCTCTGCAACATGCAGTATTATGCTTTGTTTGTAGAAAAACACAGGACATTTTTTCTGTCTGTGTGTTTACAACTATGACATGGGAATCTACTTGTATAATCTAACACTACAGGGTGACAATCAGAACAAGCCTCTGTTATGAGAATGTTTTAACATTCCACATCCTTATTTTGGCCATCATAATTTTAATTTGAGATGGTTGAGTGAAGAAAAAAAGAAATAGGCTGTTACCTTAAAATAACCAGATTAGACAAGTAGGGAGTAAAAAACAGTCAGCACCCAGTGTTTGCCCCGGGTGTAAAAATAGACAGCTACAGTGAACAGATTACCTGCTCAACAGAAGTGACTAACTTAAAAAAGTTGGCAGTTAGATATTCAACTAAATGTTTTCTATATACTACGGATGACTAGGCTATATGAAGAAAAAGCAAGATATAATAGCAGGGTATCTGACACAAAGGCTGTCTTGCATATCCCTTAGATATGCTACATACTACAAAAGGAAGAATTAACTCACATTAGAGATAAAGAAAAAAGTGAGGATACTGTATATATTTTAATTTCATAGATTTCTATAATACACTCACATTTGAGTACACCATACCTTTTAGGGTCAGGGTCTTTTACTCACATGCACAATATAAAATAAAATATAGAAAATGTTATATGAAGGTATTTATACAATGGAAAGTTAATAATATTACAACTCTTCAACAAGGCTTCTTGTCACCTTTATCCTAGCGTAAAGTGATTCACTTGGGATGGGGGAGTGCTAACTTATGGAGTCTAAGTGGGCAGTGTCTGACCAAGAAACAGACCTTGGAGTTGCAGTGGATAGCTGGATGAAAATTTCAATGCAGTATGTGGCACATCTGAAAAAGTCCAATTCTATCTTAGGGCTCATTAGGAAACTTGGTTGCCTTAAAAGGACAAATTAATGAAAGAATGAGCCATCAATGGCTACTATATAAAATGGTTATGATGGCTGTGTACTACCTATATCATCTGAGGCAGAAATGCCTCTCAGTAAAAAGGTAAAGGTAAAGGACCCCTGGACGGTTAAGTCCAGTCAAAGATGACTATGGGGTCCTGCACTCATCTAGCATTTTAGGCCAAGGGAGCCAGCGTTTGTCCACAGACAGCTTTCCAGGCCATGTTGCCAGCATGACTAAACCACTTCCAGCACAACAGGACACCGTGACGAGTGCCAGAGTGCAAAGAAACACTGTTTACCTTCCAGCCGCAGCGGTACCTATTTATCTACTTGCACTGGTATGCTTTCAAACTGCTAAGGTTGGCAGGAGCTGGGGCAGAGCAATAGGAGCTCACCCTGTTGTGCAAATTCAAACCACTGACCTTCTGATCAGCAAGCCCAAGAGGCACAGCGCCACCTGATCCCCTGCCTCTCAGTACTAGTTGTTGGAGAGAAACAAGTAGAAAGGGTACTGCTATGCTCATATCCTGCTTGCCGACTTCCCTTAAGTTTCTGGTGGGACAGTGTGAGAAAGGACCCTAGGTTAGATGAGCCTTTGGTCTGATGCGGGAGGACAAGTCAAATAGCTCAGTTGGTTAGAGCATGGCGCTGATAACACCAAGGTTGCAGGTTTGATCCCCATATGGGACAGCTGCATATTCCTGCACTACAGGGAGCTGGACTAGATGATCCTCAGGGTCCTTTCCAACTCTTATGATTCTATGACTCTTACATTCCTAGAGCACAAATGTAGTACTACAGAAGAAAGAAGCTAGGGAGAGGCTGCAAAAGGACTGAGATGCTAAATTGAGGGAGACAAGTTAGCATGTATTAGCTTGGTTAGGTTTAGGGTTGATTTGAGCCAATATTGATTTTAGTAGCAGTGTTATTTTTTGTTCTTATGGATAACTTTTTTAAATAAGGAGTTTTTTCTGGAACATCTTTTCAAAACTGTTGACCTTGAGTAAAATTTGTGTTTGTTTTGCTTTAAATGTCTCTGAAGCCTTATACCTCTCGACACACAATTGTCTTGCTGCTCTACCTAGCATAGAGAGACCCTATGTGAGTGTTGGCTTAATTTCTTTAAATTGATGACACATTGTTCTAATCCAGCAATATACCATATTTTTCGCCCCATAGGACGCACCGCCCTATAGGACGCACCTAGCTTTTTTGGGGGGGAAATAAAGGAAAAAAATTATTCCCCCCCCAGGCACGGGGCTGGCGCGGGGGAAGCCGAGCTTCCCCCGACCCCATCCCCCAGAAGAGCCTGCTATCCGCAAGCCTAGGGAGCCGCGCCGGTCTCCCCAGGCTTGCAGACAGCTGTGCGAAGCCCGGGCGCGCTGAGGCTTCCTAATGCAGGCAGCTCTGCGCAACCCTCCAGAGCCCGGCACAGCTTGGCGCCGGGCTCAGGAGGGATGCGCAGAGCTGCACGGACCCCGGGAGGGCAGGCAGCTCTGCGCAACCCTCCGCAGGCCGGCGCGGCTTGGCGCTAGAGGGTCGTGCAGAGCCACACGGACCCCGGGAGGCCAGGCAGCTCTGCGCGACCCTCCAGAGGCAGGCGCGGCTTAGCGCCGGGCTCCAGAGCGATGCGCAGAGCTGCACAGAGCCCGGGAGGGCAGGCAGCTCTGCGCGACCCTCCGGAGGCTGGCGCGGCTTGGCACTGGGCTCTGGAGCGATGCGCAGAGCTGCACGGAGCCCGGGAGGGCAGGCAGCTCTGCGCGACCCTCCGGAGGCCGGCGCAGCTTGGCGCCGGGCTCCGGAGCGATGCGCAGAGCTGCGCAGAGCCCAGGAGGGCAGGAGCCTCTCGCTCTCCAGGCTTCAGCAAAAGCCTATATTCGCCCCATAGGACGCACCCACATTTCCCCTTCATTTTTGGAGGGGAAAAAGTGCGTCCTATAGGGTGAAAAATACGGTAAGTTTGGCTGGCGCCTACAATGTGGACTGGCCTCCCCAAAGAGTTGCTCCTACTTTTTAAAAAAGGGTTTCAAAATGAGTTAAGTTTCTGCAGGCATTCTTAAAGCTATAGCCTTTAAGCATTTCTACCTTACTGCTGCTTTTTAACCAAAATGGATTGTTTTATTTGATATATTATCTTCTTATTGTCAACTGCATTTTGTTGTGAACCACCTCAATATAAAAAGTCAGTACACAAATTATAGATATATATAACAAAAACAAAACTGCCACTATTTCATGTTTGCTATAATGTTCTTACACATTCACAAATATCTGACTGCCAGAAGATGAAAGTAATCAATAAGAAATAGCCAACTGGCAGGAGGAATATGTATTAAGAAACCATTTATTCAGATCTTTCAAGACTTTAAAAATGATTACTTCACTAATTATGATAATTTCAAATCAACCTTGGCTCCGAAACAGAAAAGGCCAACAGTAAAAAGACAGATTCAACTACACTGTAAGTTCCACAGGGTCTATTATAATAGATGGGTGGGTGGGGAAAACAAGAAAGTAAAAAATGAACAGCTAGCCTTTAGCAATATATCATTACTAACTGTAAAAATACAAATATTGACTGAATATGTAAGCATAAAGGCACTAATCATTCAGATGTGAACTTCAAATAAAGGATTAGGCTACTAATACACATTTATGCTGATATTACAACAAAATGACACAAAGAACTGAGATCCTGGATCACCAAAAATAGAAACTAGCATGAAGCTTTTGTACTAAGAATGTAGCCCCTTGGCCTCTCAACAAACATTAACCTTAAAATAGGCAGTTCTGCCAATGCCTCAAGGCTGTGAAAAGATGTACATATGATGAATGCTATATATTCTAAGTGAAGGCAGAGGTACAAATGCAAATGAGAACCTTGCCCTTTTAACTACACTCCCAGAGGCTTAGTAAGAGCCATGGACAAACAAGTAACCCTGTGGAAAAAGTAGCAATTATTATGCTCTTTATAAAAACATAGTGATTTACTTATTTTTAACTGACTGACTCTTTAGAAAAGGCAACCTGAAAACAAAATCCTGCTATGTATGAACATTGCTTTGAACATATTCTTCCCATTAACATACTTGGCTACAACAAAACAAACAACAAAGCATAACTTCCCCAACCCCTAGAGGTAACTCTACCAATTCTAGCTTCTTATGCCATAAGTATCTGGCCATGTTATCTTAGCTAGGCAAATAAGTTCATCAAGTCCTAAAAACAGACTTCTCAAGCATTTCATCCTGTTGAATATGATCACCACAAATTTACACTGTTCTGGAGTTTTCAATCTGGCACCAAACTTCAATTTCTGCTGAAAAGCTGACGGCACTGACATTAAACATATTACTTGGGACTTGAAAGGTGGGAAGAACAGCAATTACAGAGCACCAATTACAGGAGCATCACAATTGAACATGGTAACATTTGAAACAGTGTGAAATTGGTTGTTCAAGAAAGTCCCGAAGGAAGAACTCTGTTTCAAAGGAAGTAACGTTAAGGTTTTCTTGCCCTTAGTTGAAATTTGCCTCTTCGGTATACAAATATACACATCCATTTGTGCAGAAGTTTAAGTTGCATGCTGTCAATGTATCTTCTCTTGAATTTCAGCTGATTTTGGAAATATTGTAGTCTTAGACATGTTGACTTAATGGCTTGTATCTCAGAGAAGGTGACAATAGCAGATGGAATGTGCCACAGTCACCTACTGGATACTCTTAGTGATGTAATTAGAAATAACATCTTTTTCCTACCCACTCTGATGCATACAATATTTTATTAACTTTAAAATGAAAGATTCCCCTAATAATTTAGTTGCTCTGTCTCCCATTACTATGCAAACAATGTGCAATGTATCCAATCAAGCAATATTTTGGCAAGAGCTAATAGGCTAACCCTTCTATCTTCCAAGGATTCTTACTTTTTCAAAGCTTCCCTTGCCTGAAACATACACATCTGTATACAGTACTGAAGTTCTCAGCACATGTAAGCATGTATTATTTTCATACACCCTACATTCACCTCTTCACAGGACCAGTCCTACCATTAGGAAGATTAGCAGGTAGCTATTCCGGCACTGGATGCTGAGGTTGGGGAGCAATTCATCCCAAGTTGCCCCCCCCGTAACCATTTCCATTGTCCAAAGTCAGCACTGCAATGATAGCAACACTGGCTGGCAGCCTCATCTTGCTGTTGCCTTCTATCAATGTGCCACCTACAACACCATTAAGGCCTACAACCAAGTGAGGAAGCCAAGAGGTAGCCAGCATGCAAAGGACTTACATTTCAGTGGGCATCATATATGCATTTGCATTGTTTTTCTCACACAACACCTGCTGCCACTAGGGAAGCTGCTCTCAAGTACAGTTGGGGATGCTGTCCCATTGCCAGTGTTGAAATAAGATTTAACTGCCAATTTGGTCAACTGCTCTAGGTGGAACTGGGAGGGGTGGCCCTGTTCTTTGCCTGAAGCAGCAAAATGTATTGGGCCAGCTTCTTCAAAATTATAAAAGTATGTTTAAGATACATTGAAATAGTTATGAATTTGTCTCTTAACAAGGTTCTCTCAAATGATAGTTCATGTTTAATCAAACAAAAAAACTGATTCTGGTTTAAAATTTAAGCACATTAACACTGAGTTTCTTACGAGTAGCAGCTTGAGAACATCACGCTTAATTTGTTGACATACGGTTCTTGTTCCAGGGCTTTATTCACTGCCTTCTGTTCCTAAAAGTTAATCTAAAGTGCTAAATAAAATTTTAAAATAACAGTACTATATTCTACCAGACACTTGGGAAAATGGGAGAGTAACAACACAATCTCTCTCTCTCAGACACTGACATTGACACACACACACACACACACACACACACACACACACACTCATCATCTTGCTGATCAACTCCTGCATTTAATCATTGTTCCACTTTATCATCTCCCCTGTAAACATCATGGGGTCTGTATGCCAGCACATTTATAGGCTTTATTCCAAACTGAAGATGGAAATTGGAGCAGTACAAACCATGGCTAGCACCTGGCCTGTCACTGAATTGGAAGACAGAGATTACCATCACTAGAATGTTATCCATATTTGACAGAGATGTAGGGGGGGCATCCAACAAAGTCTGTTCATTTATTTGTTTTATTTTTATTTCATTACATTTATGAATTGCTTCCCATGAAAGATCCCAGGGTGATTAAACAATAAAAACAACTTCTGATCCAATACAGATATAGACAAGGACAAGGCTTGCTGAAAAATGAAGGTACAAAAAAGGACCAATAGACCAAAAGGACCAAAAAGGCAATAGATAAGGCATTTGTCTGAAGTTCCAAAAGGGTAAGTGCTGCCACAAGAAAGGTATTATACATACTTTGCTATAAAAGGATGTTGAAATGGACTATATTTTGGCTGTACTACACCACTATCCATAATTCACTTGCTCTTGTTGTTTTTCTCAGGCTGTGATAAAGCAAATGTCTTATTGGCTGTGCCTTTAGCATGATGGGTCACTGCTAAAACAACTGCAAATAGCCACACCTCTAGTTACTTGTGAAGTCAAGTGCAATATAGTGCAATGGTGGCAGGCAAATTAATACTGCAACCCTTAATGCTGTTGTATGAAAGTAAACCCCACTAAACCACTGGATTTATTTCTAAGGAATTAGGCATAGGATAAGATGCACAGTTTTATACCTAGAGAAAATAGAAAAGCAAGCCTTCAAAGTTTATGTTAATCAAACACTTTGAATTCCCTGGCTATTTTAGAATGCATCCTGAAAATTACTGTGAGGCAACTTAAACCATGGGTATCGCATAACTGGAGACACTTGCAAGTTTTTTCCATCTGTACCGATACAAACAGGTCTTGACGATGCTTTTGCTGGGTGTGCAGTTTTTATAAGCGACAGAGTTACGATCTCCCTCATACAAATTTTATGAGCTGCAATCTGGGAATAACAGCAACTTCACTCATCTATCCATCTTAGCAAGATATCTGAAAATCTCAGTGACTATACAGCAAGCATGAACAGTTTTAAAAGCATGAATTTCAGAGCTAGCTCAATCTACAATATATGCTTTGTTTGAACTGTTCATGCTTGCTGCCTGTATTCCTTTCAAATAAGAAAAGACGTCTGCAGTAAAGAGTGTGATCAGAACTGCTGCACAGAATAGGACTGCTGAATTTGTTTTATCTCTATATCCTTCTCCAGTGGCCATCACAGGGTTACTCAAGAAACATCTAACCCTTGGGGAAGAAAAGAGATTCTAGATTCTGGTAATTTAGCTGAGCTGTCCCCCTGTAACTGCCACCAAAGGGCCATTCAAGGATCATCTTGACCTTAGGGGGAGGTAAGATTTGGCTTTCAAAAAAGGTTCTTTTTCTTTTTAAGTTGTCTTAGCTGTTTTATTATGTACTTGCTATTGATGGTTGTGGGTTGTTTTTATTTTAAAAGAAGTAAACCATTTTGTGGATTTGCCTAAAAAGGAGTATATAAATACCTTATATAAATAACTAAACAAAAAAAAAATATGAGAAACCAAATTTGGTTAAAGAACTGCTTAAAACGGATGGAATTTACAAAATGATGGCACTAGAACCATCTATGCTGCTTATGCCAAAATATGGCTTCAGGAAACTATGAAACTGCTGCAAGGATGAATAATACATCCTGTATGTGTTCAGCATTCCTATGTAAAACATATCAAATTTCAGACATCCTGTGATTTTCTTTTTCAACACAACAAGTAGAGGGACTGCTGCTACCTGATCATCACATGGACAAGTTTGAGTAAAGGTTAGTGTGAAAGACAATTTTAATAATTCTGAGGATGCCATTTTAAAAATCAGTTTATAAGTTCTATAATTTGCACTAAAATACAGTTTTACTAAGGTGCAATTGCAGAGTTACCTTCTTCTTTTTTTAAAAAAAGTAGGCAACAGTTATTTTACTATTACTGTAATTTGAAGATTGCCTCCCTACCCCCCCCCCCCCACAAAATAAATAGTATAGGTCACTATAACAGTGCTGGCCAGAAAGGCATCACGTGAAGCGGGTTTTAAACATTTTTCTTACAAAAAGTAAAAATACTGTTTGTTGTTCTTTTAAAGGGAGTTTAGTAGAAATTAAAATTTACAACAAATTTAGATTGATTTTAAAGCATGCTAATAAAATGGCATCCATGGGAACAATAATGTGAAGATGTGCTTAAGTAGATGTATAGTTCACCCATCCATATGAGTGCACAAGTCAAAACCATGCTTCTTAAGACAACAGAAAAGGGGTACTAAGGCAAAATGCACCTTGGAGTTGGGGGGAAAGAACTGAATAGTAGCATGTGGCTGGATTTGCTGTGATTTTAAACAAAATAGAAGAATCACAGTGGAAACAGTAAATAACAGTTTGGTGATGATGTTATGGAGATGCTCTTTAAAAAAAATAAGTAACAAAGCATGGCAATTCCAAAGTGAACACATAGTATAGAAGCACCCCGTGATAGCAACTATGCCTGCTTTCTTGGAATGTGGCCCTCTGCCACAGATATTATGCTTTCGTCCCTTGATATGCATAGGAGCTTGGTAAACAACTACTACTACTATTGAAGCCAATAAGAATCTTCATAGGAGGGACTGTGCTCTGAGTCTTGCTCACGCATGGGAACAATGCAAAAATGAACACCGCACTAGAAAATGGTGAATGTACGATGATGCATGCTGATTGTTAGGCACAGTAACTGTCATATGAACAGACTCAACATTGTCCCTCAAATTAGAAGCAGCTCTTAACAGAGCCACAGTGTAGTTCCTGTAGACAATCATGAAGTGACCAACAAAGTTCATTTCCTATTTACACATGGTTGTGCGTGCTCTTAATCCTTATTGGGTTAAGCAGCCCTCAAATCCAGAAGCACGTGAAATCAAAGGATTAAAATGCATATGCTCTGCTGCTTCAACTAGTTTTAGGGAACAAATACCAGTTCAAGACTTCAGTAGTCATGTGAATCATGATACAAAACGAGAACTATATTGGTATCATCATCTTCACTATACATAATCTGAACACAGAGAGTGAGGAACATACTTGTTCAAATGCATAGCTGTACAGATAAGAGAAAGAGTTGCATCAGATATTATTTCAATTTGAAGAATTTAGAACAAGTAGGGGAATTGCCTGGAATGAGACACAATAAGAATAATCTAAAAGGTGTGCTAATATTATCCTTATCACCATATTACTTAACAATTAGGTAAGTGCTACAGAAACATATCAATGTTGCTTGCAAAACCAATATATGTAAATAGTTGAAAACCATCTTGTTCTTACCCAGAGATTCCATCATTTTTTGCTCCTAATATCGAGTAGAAATAAGTTGTGAACCTGTAGACAAAAACAAACATACCAATGCACTAACATCAGACAGTGCCCTGGAAAACCGAACCACAGAAATGAGTGCAAGTTCTTTTAGTGGCACTGAGCCAGGGTGCACATTCTGGGAGTATTTTATTATCTGTGCTTAATTAGTTTGGGACTGTGTTCTGATCAAAGTGAGAGAATGAGGCCATAAAATACAGTCCCTTATTTTGTGGATAAAAGCATGGATGTCATCACTTAAAGCATGTAAGAAATCCAATTAAAAAGATTTTCAATCTTTCCTAGCAGAAGTAAAACAAGTTAACTCTATTCCATCCAGATTTATAAAGCAGATATTAAATGACAGATAATTCACAGTAGAGAGTTACATTCATGTTGGTCCTAAACAACGAAGGTTTCTATGATTGAAAAAAATAGAAATTTCTTTCTTGCCTCTTTCAGTTCTCTTTTCCCTTGTTTTCTTATACTCGTGCAAGTATGGCAATGTTTCAATTCTATACACAAGTACATGTAAGTCAGAGAAGGAAAACCTGTGCCCCTCTAGCCCCAGCCAGCAGGGCCAATGGCTAGGGAATATGGGAGTTGAAGTAAACCCTTACTTCTGAGTAAGCATGCTTAGGATTGTATGTTCATTTGAAGGACTGTTTATTCAAGCCATAAAACAAACCCTCTCTTTTTTAGGCAGTCCTTGTAAAGGTAAAGGTAAAGGTACCCCTGCCCATACGGGCCAGTCTTGCCAGACTCTAGGGTTGTGCGCTCATCTCACTCTATAGGCCGGGAGCCAGCGCTGTCCGCAGACACTTCCGGGTCACGTGGCCAGCGTGACAAGCTGCACCTGGCGAGCCAGCGCAGCACACGGAACGCCGTTTACCTTCCCGCTGGTAAGCGGTCCCTATTTATCTACTTGCACCCGGGGGTGCTTTCAAACTGCTAGGTTGGCAGGCGCTGGGACCGAATGACGGGAGCGCACCCCGCCGCGGGGATTCGAACCGCCGACCATGCGATCGGCAAGTCCTTGGCCTATCTTAAAACATAGCAAACAGAAAGCAAGGAAGCATTCCCAACAGGTCTGACTCTCAGTTTTGCTGTCCCCTCCCCAACAATAACCTTTACCTTGCACTGTTCCAAATGAAACAAAAGGAACCCGTCAAGTCATGCATTAAAGAAAAATGTAAAGAGGGCGCCTCTGTGGATGAAGTCAAACTGCTGTGTTAGTAAGCAGCAAAGTGACCTCCCTGGGGCACAAGCTTGTGTATGGAGGTCCTGGGCTGCCCAAATGACAAGACCTCCCTTTCAGCCTCATGGATATGGTCCGAAGGAAAGCAGAACAATACGTTTGGCACCAGCCTGGCTGCAGGAGTTGCCAAGAGGAGGCATACAAGGCACCATCCAATCATTTTAGGGACTTCACTGCAGGTTTGTGTAGAGTTTACTCCTTAGCCATTTCTTCTCCTGAAGATATCCTGCAAGGCAGTGGATATCCCACAAGGCAGTGGAGGTTTAGATTCAGCATTATCCTTCTCCTAGATGAGCTACCTTCCCAGGTTGACGAGCCCCATCTACCCCTCACTTCCCTCTACAGCATGTGCAGAAACAAGTCTTATTGACCACTGGACCCACTATTAGTCTCAATCTACCAGAGGCTGTCTTCACATGCATGGGAAGTGCCTAATTCACTGAGGATTTAAGACCTATCAGCTACCCTCATCTGGTTTAGCTGACTAGTCAAAGCCATTTCCTGGGATGTGGGTGCTGTCGCATGCTGACAGCTTCTAGGAGCTACAAGTGAGAGCTGAGTGCAGGGTGGAGACCAAAGGTGGACAAACTACCCCAGAAGGAGCATGACATGTCACCAACCAGTGGTACTCCCTCCTCCCTAACACACACAAGCACCATTGTCAGATCCAATTCTCAAGAAGTCATGAAAGGCTAGTATTGCAAGCATGTTAAGGAACTGGGTTAAACTGCAGTGGCTTTCAAGGATTAGCATACATATGAGGAAGCTATATGTGTCAGGAGATGACTTGTCCTAGTACTGACCTGATCCTAGGCTAAAAGTGCAATAAACCTCTGTGTAATTTTCTCCCTTGTTTCTCTTTCTACTATCTCTATGATTCATAAGTGAAATGATCATATTGAAGGTTGAGCAACTGAATTTAATGTAAAGTGAAATAGCCCATAGCAGCCTTTTAAGGTAGGAACATTAAGCTTAAGCCTTGCACTGAAATTCAGTAGCACTTAAATTTTTAATTTTGTCCGGATTGTACTCATAGTTTTGATAGCTAGTTGAGAGATAAAACATTGTTGATAAAACATTCAAATAAAAAGACACTTTGAATGACATGCAAATCTGAACTTCTGACTACTCCCTTTGCATTGACCTAGTTTTTTTCAGTTGTAAAAATCCCCTTGAAACCATCATCTGAATAGAATATTTATTTATTTTTGCTTTCTCTGACCTGCAACAGCTGCCTGTGTTGTATAAGTAGACTCTTGAGAAGATGTGAAGAGTATTACTCTCATTTGTTCCACTTGGAAATAAATTTGTGTTTTGATGTTCAGCCTTGTGGGTTAGATGTTAATCTGGAACAGTCCTGAAAACTACCTACATCAATTTACTGCTGCTGTATCTTCCGCACGAGGTTAGATATGCTGAAACACTGTAAGTTTTACAACTGGATTTAAGTCTGAATTTTAATATACTGCAGGAGTTTTACAGTTTTAAAATAATATATATTAGGACCCCCTTTGAGAGCCCCCGAAATGGCACAATGTTGGTTAATAAATGCAGCACTGTCTGTCTATTTACGAGAACTCCGAGGCTCTCCTCCTTCCCATATGCCAAACCATGTATATACGATGTGCATCAGAAGTATTTATGAAATTCATAAAGAAAATGGAAATAATAAAGTGAAAGGGGAAGAAAGTTTAATAAGTAAATTACTATGCAACAGTTTCCAAAGAAGTTGACACAAGCTCCAGGAATTTGCCAGCAGCATCAACATAAAACAGTAAGAAGTCCAAAGGATAAGGACATAAGCTAGCAGGTAGCTTATACCAATTTCTCTAGGGCAATCATATGGCCTATTCTCTAAAACAGCACATTTCTTTGTACTTTGTACTTAAGAAGTACGGTACACCCTTTTCTCCACTTGACTGAAGCTTACATCTTCCTATGCAGCCCAATCTACAAGTTCCAAACAAGCACAAATGCCTCTCCAGTAATTAAACTCCTGGATGCATAAACAAACTCTGATGAGCACTAAATTATTAATAATTGATAATATAGACCTACTTTACTTGCTTCATCAGCTGTGACAGACAACCGCTTCACCCGGAACAAATATCACTTGTATTTACATGTACAATGACCCTAGTCACAACAGGTATCGTCTTCCTAATACACTATCTTATAAAAGAAATATTCCATCAGATTCTACCTAAACTTAGCTGCGAGCTGTCCTATCTGGCAAGTGTTTAGTAATCCAATCAATTCCAAGATTTTTAAGAACAGTAGTTGATTAAGATTTTTCATAAACAGTAACAATAACTAAAACAAAACAAAACAAAGGATAAAATTTATAGCTGGGAAGATAAAAATCACAACTGTTTTGAAAAAACAGATATATTGCCTCCTTTAAGGAAAAAGAGAGGAATCTAATTAATAAAATCATGTCCCTGTTCTTAGTGTCTTGGCCTGTAGTAAATTACTATGAGGCAAGGAAATCGGTCTCCTATTTTCAGTAAGTAGGGACATAAGGAATTTTTAAAAAGGGACATGAAAGCTGACTAAGCAAAGAGGGGGGTGTCTGTTTGTGCTTACAAATTATGTTAATAGAGATGTAAGGATATTAAAAAACACAATTTTTTAAAAAGACTACTTTAAATTAGTTTATTAGTATGTTAGCAGGAATACTCTAAAAGCTCAGACATCTTAAAATATCATGGAAAACGCTAAATATGAAAGTCTCTTTGACACTAAATTTAAGCCTAATAAAAATAGCACTTCCAATTGATACATGCTATCAGTTTGCTTATTACAGTATGCCCAAGATTTTACAACATTTTTAACTAGTTTATATTTATACTTCTATGCAATATAGTAACTCATGAAATCTGAATAGTTTATTCTAAAACAGAGAATATTTACAAATTCTGGGTTGTATACATTCCTGCTATTCCATTCAGTCAACAGACTTCTGCTTGCACAACAGAACTTCGCCCTCCTCTCCCCTGCAACCCCCACACATTAAAAAATCTGCTCCAGAGGATCCCCCAACCCTCTGGAGCAGATTTAGGGGAGTACAAGGAGAGAGGGGAGGGAGGAAGGACTCCTACTGCATAAGCTGTGCAATGGACACAATCCCAGAAGAACTAGTTTACCTACTGCTATTCAGGGTGGCGCTGTGGGTTAAACCACAGAGCCTAGGACTTGCCAATCAGAAGGTCAGCGGTTCGAATCCCAGCAACGGGGTGAGCGCCCGTTGCTGAGTCCCTGCTCCTGCCAACCTAGCAATTCAAAAGCACAAAGTGCAAGTAGATAAATAGGTACCGCTCCGGCAGGAAGGTAAACAGTGTTTCCGTGTGCTGCTCTGGTTTGCCAGAAGCAGCTTAGTCATGCTGGCCACATGACCCGGAACCTGTACGCTGGCTCCCTCGGCCAATAAAGCGAGATGAGCGCCGCAACCCCAGAGTCGCCCGCGACTGGACCTAATGGTCAGGGGTCCCTTTACCTTTACCTATTCTACCTAATAAATGTTGCCCTTTGGCATATCAGATACTTCTGATATATATATTTTGTCTCTCTCTCTGCACTATTATTGTCTTTACTGATGTTTTCATACCAAGAAGTAACATAGCACTAGCAGTTAAGCCCCAGAAGTTTAGGTGAGGGGATTTATTGATTATAGGATTAAAGCCTCAAGTTTCAAAGAGAGAAAAACTATCAACAAAAGTTCTTTTTCTTAACACGACTATTATGTTGCTTCTTTTTCTCAATAGGACTATTATGTTGCTTCTTTTAAGTCCATCTGAGAAAAAACTGAACATTAAAGTAAGTAGGAACTGCTGCTAGATGTGGCCTAGTTTTATGAATGGTCTTACCCTTGGGAAAATGCTGATCCATACTGCTATAGCGAGGCTGGTTTTGCCACACTGCTTCTTGCATCTGGGGTAGAGACATACAATTTAGGAGTACGTGTGTGCATTCTGACACATGGGGCACCATCAACAAAAGGCAGGAGCTGGCCTGTATATAGCAGCGTAAGTCTCTGCACTTTCCACTTCCACTTGCACAGGGGCACCCAGCTAGTCCTGCTATTTGATACCAGTATGGGAGTAGCTGATAGCTTTATTGGCTGAAGGGGGGGGGGATGTGTTGTGTTTTTTCACAAACTTCATACTGGGAAATTGGTTTTGGCTGATTCAAACGATCAGTTTGACCGATGATTCAACAGATTTGCATTTGGTTGTTTGGCTAATACTACTAATATAATGTTTCGGTCATGTAGACTGGAGTCTGGGCAAAATGTCTGATCCTTGGCAAAAGTCATGTTAAGGATTTGGAGGCACCTGAGGGTAAAATTTACGGATGCTTTGCTTTCCCATGGCTTCAAATCATACTCTGTCTACATTCATGTTTGCTTGCTTGTTGAAGATCATTTAATTAATAAATGTCCTTTATATTCAATAGATATATCATGTCTTCACTCTGGTGGGAAGGCAAAGTCTGTCTGTTAGGAATGAGGCAACACCGGCCTCAGTTGCAGATTCCATGGCCTACTGTAGTCATATTCTAGATACCTATGTGAGCGAGTTACAGAGAAAAGGGATGGAAAGATACATCAGCACAGCAGACTACTTTGGGGGCTATCCCCAAGTTCTCATTATCATCATGATGCAATCCTAACAGTATTGGACCTGCATCAAAAATATGTGTAGGTGGAGATAATAGGTTGGATTCAGACTAAGTTACCAGCACTTAGGTCCCAATGAACTCACCATGAAAATTTAATAATGACTTAATTCACATTGATTTCAACAGGACTTAAGCACAACGAACAGTATGGACCAACCCAGGCTCAGTGCAGTTGTAATATCCCAAATAAATGCCGCAATATTTTTGATTCTGTACAACACAGCATCAGTACATTATTGCTACAAATCCAGCTCCATTTTTCACATCATCAGTTTTATAATTTGCCTCTAAAATTTGGACCTCATCCCTTTTCTTTCTTACCCTTCAGCTTTTTTTGTTTTTTGCAACTAACTGTCAAAATTTTAGCTAACCACGGAATTTAAATTATGAGATTACGAAGTATGTTAGCCCATTTACTTCAGTCTTTGCTGCACAGTGTAACATTACAGAACAACTTTATAGATCTTAAATCTTTGCACAGACAGTGGATCACCTTGTGAAGAAATAAAACCTTTAAACTGTCGTCGAGTGCTTGCACGGTTAAAAGCCACACAATTCAAATGTCAAAAAGATCTAACCCTGAAACATTATATACAGAGCAGATTTAACAGTTTGCACAAACTCATTGCCATAAAACTCCCAAAACAATCAGATTCTGCCGCAGTTTATTTCCTATCTAAGAGTATGCTCATATTAGTGAGGATCTTTTTTTAAGCATAGAGGCAATTTCCCCACACTGTGTTTCAAGCTGCATGTGCACTGAGATGTTCACATTAGAGAGAGAGTGGGGATGTCTTCCCCCAGCACACACAACCTTTTTGGTTTCCCTGCCCCTGCAATCCCACTAGAACTCCTATTTATTACACTGTCATCTGTGCTTGCATGCTTATCTATGCCTGCAAGACAGCTGTTTGGATAAGTTCACATTGCTGCTTACTCAGCATCCTGCTTTCCCATCGGTCTGAAGCTGGTTGGGGGGGGGGGAATGCACCAAACAGCAGTATTTGTCAAGAAACCACAGGATCAATATGAATTGTCACTAACATCATGTGAATGCAGCTTCAAAAATTAGAAGTGGGAGTGAACTGGATGTGGAGTAAGTAACAAGTAGTAAAATGAATATATTCTGTTTCCTAAATAGCTATCCAAACCTTGCTAGTGCTGCAGATCAGAAGTTAATTATCTAAAAGTGCAGACTCTGAGGAAGCATGCAAAATTACTATTTTTGGAAGCAAGGCTTTCATATCTACTGAATTCAAAATTTATAATTGCCACTGTGTACTTGATAGTCATGTTTATTGGGGGGTGAATCTACCATATAAGGACTGTCAAAAATAATCCCATTTAAAACTCTAGTGTGGGATCAAATTAGTTGATATGGAAATTTGTCCTGTTCTCTAACACCCACAAGTCCCAGAACATTAGTCTGAAGTGCTGGCATGAATAAGAACCATTTGTCAAATATGAAAATTCACAAGGTTGTCAAGAGTTTTTATACTGAACAATTCAGAGGTGTCTTTTTAAAAGTTTTGCATTGCAGTGGAGAGCAGTACTTTAATATGAAAATGCACGTATCATCAGATGGCTTCTAGTTGCTTCTAGCTTCTAGAAAAATCCAATGTAATAGCCTAAACTGAAATACTAAGAGTTGCATGTCATTTTATACTGACCCACTAAACATACAAAAGAATTTAAATTCCAAAACATGAAACAATTAGTGAAGGAGAAACATGGAAAAATATATGAACATAATTTAGGCTGATTATCTTAGGCAATTTTGTTCCTGCATGTTAACTCTGTCTAGGATACTTTAACTGACTCTGAATCTGGACTTTATGGACCACTCTACACAAAACATAATCAAGATGACCCTTTATAGAAGTAGAAAAGAAAGAAAGAGAAAAGGAAAGAAAAAAGAAACCTCTTTTAGTACGTATTTAATTACAACATTAAAAGTTACTTGCCACCACCTCAACAATTTTAAATAAATTTGACATCCATGTATGCCTAGTTATTGATTATAAAATATATCAACTGTGCATTCTAAGACCGTTTATGGGGAATTTTCTGTGCAGAGAAGTCCCATCTCTTTACATCACTTTACTTGTTGTACTTGGTTAAAGCTTTGAGGAAACCAGGAAAGCTTACATTTTGATTCTTTCTTATTATGGTGTTGGAATTCTATCTATCAGGCTAAGCTATATGTGATGTTAAGTGGCATGTGTCTTTCCTCTGTTGTTTTCTTTTCTTACAAAGCGCAACAGTGGAGGCTGCAACTGCAATGAAAGTTCAGCCTGTGGTGTGGTGAAGGGAGCTTTTTCACCCTTTTCACAAACAGATTGGTTCTTTGCATATATATATATATAACCTTTTATGTATTTAAGACGTTTGCCACATTTTTGGAGCTGATAATAATTGTTAAGAAAGCTTCAATTTGAATTAGCCTGATCCTCCATTCCCCTTCCCCTTTCCTTTTTTATGAAGAAACCCTTCCGAGACCCCATATTTAAACTCTTCCCTGGTCTCCTTGCTGGCCTTTGTAGGACCAACTTGGCCAGTTAGCCCTGGTGATCATTTGATGTTTACTGACTAGGTCCCTCTCCAAATGACCCTGAATTTTTTAATTTTATTGACATTGATACTGCATTTATGTTGTATTTTATGCTGTTTTTAAGTCACATTTTAATCACTGTTTTTTTATATTTGCTGTTAGCCACCCTGAGCGGGATATAAATAAAATTTTATTAAATTATTATTATTAAAGGTCCTGTTTACATTTTTAGATGAAGAGGGCAAAATAAATTGAGAGAAATCAGCCTTGAATGCTGCCTTTTATAGAAACAATGAATTCACAAAGAATGGACACACAAAACAGAAAACTGTGATGGTAAACATGCAATATCTTATGACAAACTGTGACAGATTGGAACATTAGAACTATAGGCACATCTCTGTCTTCTAGTGGACATTTCCAGATATTGCCTTTCAGCAAGCTGCTTACGGACCAATAAAGAGCATTTTGTCAACAGAAAGGCATCCATTTACTTCACAGAGCTTTGAATTAAGCTATTAATCAGTCTATGTTTCCCATCTGTAAAGTGCCTTCCTGTAAGATTTTGCAATCAGCAGTGAGGCACAGGTTACAGCACCCTGTCTCCTTACTGACAGAATATGGAATTCTTAGCGCCCTGTCAAATGGTCATATTTCTTAAAAGGCTCAAACTGAGAGTTATAGCACTGGCATCCTTTCACTTGTTTCTTTTAAACTGCAAATCCTAACTACAGCAGACATGGTTAGGATTGAGCTGTAAATCAGTATTTCAGACTACAGTGTTGCAGAATATAACAGGCAGCTTGCTAGTTCTTTATTCTACTCATTATTTACTTACTTCTTCATAGTGGTTTCAGGGGAAATCGGCAAAAATTCATGGAAGGAGAATGAATGAAGGACAATCACCACGACACTGTATTTCACAAGAATGTAATAGCACATACTTAAATCCATCCACAGAACATCACCACCAAAAAATCCAGTCAAAGTGAGAAATGTAGAATGGAATGGTAGTGAATATCAAAAATTTTGCTGATTTCAAAATATAAGTTATTACTGTGCACCAGTTTTAATGTTCTGGAAAACAAAAGAACTCCAGAGAGTTTGGAGTCTATCAATGATTTTCATAACTTCCATGAAGCTTGGAAGCTTGGCTGCCAAAGTACAGTACCAGTGAACATTATGCAGAGGATTCTGCACACTCAGGTCACATGGGATACAGTGGTGCCTCGCAAGACGAAAAGAATCCGTTCTGGGAGTCTCTTCGTCTAGCGGTTTTTTCGTCTTGCGAAGCAAGCCCATTGACGGGATTAGCGGATTAGCGCTATTAGCGCTATTAGCGGCTTTTAGCGGCTTTTAGCGGCTTTTGGCAGCTTATCAGCTTATCAGATAAGCAGATAAGCGGCTTAGCGACTTAGAAAAGAGGGGAAAAGGAAAAAAACCCAGGAACTCGCAAGACAGTTTCGTCTTGCGAAGCAAGCCCATAGCAGATTCGTTTTGCGAGGCACCTCCAAAACGGAAAACTCTTTCGTCTAGCGAGTTTTCCGTCTTGCGAG